AGAAGACATTTACATATTTGTCTTTTTCAAAAAGAAGCGATGCGGTGGCTCAGTGGCTAAGATGCTGAGCGTGTCGATCAGACAAGTCAGCAGTTCAATGGTTCGAATTCCTAGCGCCACATAATGGAGTGAGCTCCCGTGACTTGTCCCAGCTTCTGCCAACCTAGCAGTTCGAAAGCACATAAAAAATGCAAGTAGAAAAATAGGGACCACCTTTGGTAGGAAGGGAACAGCGTTTGATGCCCCTTCGGGAGTTGAGTCCTGCCGGCCACATGACCACAGAGACGTCTTCGGACAGCGCTGGCTCTTCGGCTTTGAAACAGAGATGAGCACTGCCCCCTAGAGTCAGGAATGACTAGCACATATGTGCAAGGGGAAATCTTTACCTTAATGCAACCTTTGTGGGACATTTTCACCCGGTCCTACAATTGAGGAAAATGAATATTTTATTCCAGCATCATCCTATTCTCCCCTGGGCCACTGATTCCAAACACCATCAAGTCTTTCTCTCTCAGATCTTGTAGCTCGGACGTGAGATCAGAGCAGGGGTGAGTTCCGGCAGGGACTACTGCTAGTTCACTTGTGGGTGCACCATGCATGCACTTGATGTGCGCTGTGCACGCATGCGCACTGCAAAAAAAATGCTCTAAGCATGTGCAGAAGCAAGAAACAAGATGGTGCTGCCGGGAGAACCGGTTTGGGGGCATGGCAGAGCTGGGTCGCTGCCAGTTCCAACGACCCAGGCCACCAACCCATGACCAGTTTGGCCAAACCAGTCCGAACTCCCCACTGGATCAGAGGATGCTGGGGGTTTGAACCTGGGATCAGATTAAGAGCCAAACAGGGATTTTACTGCCAAGCGACCCCCAGGGAAAGAATAGCCAAGCATTCTGGGACAGAGGAATCAGCCCAACGAGGATGGCTCTGATTTATGTCTCAGGTTTTCTTCCTTAGCGCGTGGGAGTTTTTCAAGAGAAATCAGCAACGAGGCGGAACTAAAAGAAAAGGGATTTTGGCTTGTCCGTTGCCCCAAATTAAACAAAGGATGGCGACTCCATGTTGCAACCCAAAAAAGATTCAGCGCCCCAAATGCCACAAGTTGATCATATTTGCGCTTGGAAGTGGGGGGTGGGTGGGTATATTCAGGGCTGGCGCACATAAGTATCTCTATGGCTGCATCCCCCTTCCCCAGCTATAATTAAACCAATTTTGCAATCTTGGGGGCTTAAGGGCTGTGTCAGGGAAACTGGCAGATTGTTCTAACTGGCGAGCAGTTTAACCTATTAGCGCATCGCGATTAATTCCATTCCTTCCCAGAGCGCCGCGTTAATTCTCTCTCTTTGTGCGTGTGTTGAGAGAGTGGGAGCGAGAGACGTGAAGAAACAGGAATGTTTTTTCAAGCGGCAATTTACTGGTGCCGGAAAACTGCTTTCTATGTTCAAGTCAGCGGTTTTGAGGGGAATTAAGTCACTGCCTCTGATATATTTTTTAAAAAATTGGTTTTAATGAAACAGGCAAGAAATTGGAGCTGTCAGAAAGCTTTGCCATTTCCAGAGAAGAGGGGAGTAAACTTTAGCAGGGATCAAAGAATATCCAGATGAGAGAACCTTAAGTCTAATTTCTTCCTCGTCCACTGTCTAAACTAGTATTTTCTCCCCCCCCCTCCCCCAAAAAATTGGCAAGTTTTGAGATATGGGGACGTCAAATATCCCCCCAGAATTCTCCAATAATGGTTGGGAAATTCTGGGAGTTGAAGTCCACTCATTGTAGAGTTGTCAAGTTTGGGGGGGAAAACCGAGCTTTATATAGTTTTTATTGTCATTGTACAAAATAGATAAATGAAATTGGTTATACTTTTATAACAACACAGGCAGGGGTGGGTTCCGACAGGCACTACTGCCGATTTGGTTGGGTGCGTGCCGCGCGTGCATGCACAGTGTAATAAAAATTATTCTGCGCATGCATAGAAGCGAAAAACGGAAAACTATGGCGCCACCCAGGGAATCGGTTCAGGGCCGTGGCAGGCCTGGGTCACTACCGGTTCCAGCGACCCAGGCCATTAAACCGCTACCGCTTCAGCCGAACCAGTCCGAACCCACCGCTGAATACAGGAGCCTTTCATCATAGACATAATGCACATCTGTCATAACCTTTTGGCAAACGGACATTATAGGCTGTTTGATTCATACAGGGGGTTTAGGGATTGCAACCAGGGGTGGGCTGCAACAGGTTCGCCCGGGTTTGGGAGAACCTGTGGCTAACGTTATGGCTGGTTCAGAGAACCTCCAAATCCCCCTCCCTCTGCCCCTGCTCCTCCCACCCCACCCCTCCCAGGAGCCTCCATGGGGCCCGTTTTGGATGCAAGTTAAGGGCCAACATGGAAGCTCGAGGAGGGGGGGTAAAGGTTCCCCTCGCAGATATGTGCTAGTCGTTCCTGATTCTAGGAGGCAGTGCTCATCTCCGTTTCAAAGCCGAAGAGCCAGCGCTGACCGAAGACGTCTCCATGGTCATGTGGCGGCATGACTAACACGGAATGCTGTTCCCTTCCCACCAAAGGTGGCCCCTATTTTTCTACTTGCATTTTTTTATGTTCTTTTTCGAACTGCTAGGTTGGCAGAAGTTGGGACAAGTCACGGGAGCTCACTCCGTTACGCGGCGCTAGGGATTCGAACCACCGAACTGCCGACCTTTCTGAACGACAAGCTCAGCGTCTTAGCCACTGAGCCGCCCCGTGTCCCTTATGCCTTATACCGCTTATTAATTAGGCATCTTATGATGGCGATAATAAGGTGCCTAATTAATAGATTTCCCCTCCACTCCCCCCCAAAAAGTTCAGTAAAGTTCATTTTCTCTTCCCCCCCGCCCCCCCGAATTTGAGCCAAACCCGCATTGCACGAGCCAAAACTAACAATAAACATGCCATGCTGGGTTTATTTTAAGTTAAGTCCGATAATCTTCCCTGCACGCAGCCTGTCTAGGAATGAGTCGCTTGCCGGAGTGCCGCTAAAGCGGTGGCTTTCGGCTTCTTCAATTGCCCCGACACACTTTATAAAACAACAAGGGAAAGAAAGACCCCGAGAGCGTTAACCGCTGCAGAAGAAAGCAATTTAAGGTTGCTTGAGGGAGGTGTGAGATTGCCTGGAGCACTTTGGGGCTAGTCATCTTTTCTTTTAAAAAACAAAGACTTTTTTTTTTGGCTCCTTTTGAAATCCCACAGATGTTTTGCGGACTTAAAAACAACAACAGGTCTCCAGGTTTTTGTCCATTTAGATCTGCTGTTTTTCTTTCAAAGCTTTTAGGATTTTCCCCCTTCATCCTTCTTAAATTTGAAATGTTGGAGAATGGAAAGTGCAAACGTCTGAACATTAGGACAGGGATGGCAAACCTTTTCAGCACCGAGTGCCCAAACTGGATCATGCATGCACGCACCCCTGGAGTGGGTTCTGCCCGGCTTTAATGCGGGTTCACTCACAGGCTGGATACGTGCATGTGCGGAACTAAAAAAGAAGATGGTGGTGATAAGAAAACCGGTTCGGGAGTGTGGCAGGCCTAGGTCGCTGCCGGTTCCAGTGACCCAGGCCGCTATACCACTACCGGTTCGGCCGAAGCAGGCCGAACCGGCAGGAACCCACCACCAGCATCAGAAACCCAAGGACCAGCTGGCTGGCATGTGCGTGCCTAGTTCGGGGGCATTTTGGGGGGGTGTTTTCAGGCCATTTTTGGGGTGTTTTTCAGGCTGGTTTTTTGGGGGGCCGTTATTGGGCTATTTTGGGGGTGTTTCGACCACGGAGACATCTTCAGACAGCGCTGGCTCTTCGGCTTTGAAATGGAGATGAGCACCGCTCCCTAGACTCGGGAATATGTGTGAGGGAATCCTTTACCTTTACAGTTTTCAGGAAGTTTAAAGGTAATTTTTTGGGGGGAAAAGAAAATTGGAAAGGCTGAGGACAGACATAGTGTATATGTCTGTCCTCAGCTAGCTGATTACATATTATGGAATGGGATATTAAGGAATGGGAATAAAGAATTGGTTGAACAGGTGTGAATAACATTTCAATTCTATTTTTTTCCTCCTTTCTCACACAGCCTTTAGCCAAAGGAGCTTTTCTCCGAGGATCCGGATTAAACTTAACAACTGGGAGATTTACAGCTTCGGTATCTGGCATTTATCAGTTTTCAGCCAACGTCCATGTAGGTGAGTGATAGAATTTATTTAAGGTATGGTTCAAACGCTTTTTTTCCCCTCTTTCCACGGGCAATTTTCTGGTTTAAGAGAATGAATGTTACCCACACAACCCCAAAATCTATCTGGCCAAAGATCAATGGCTAGAAAACACAAGATGTCTTTTGTTCAAAGAATAGAATAGAATCAATGGAAGAGCTTGTTGTGTAGATTTTACACTCAGACACACATTCAAAACTCTTCTGTTGGTTTATCCATTATTTTCAAATGCTTATAATTATTGGTTTATACCAAGTTTACCATGTCGCACAAAAAAACATTTTGTGGACAACAAAAGGAAGAGTGGCTAATTTTGTCCACTGTTTTCCTCTTGAGACAACAGTGAGGAAGTGGATGAGATTCACAGCATGTGCTATTTGTGTGAGAAAGTCAAAGCAACAGCATCTAATTGATGCCCGAGATGGCCAAGGACACAGGATTTCACCCACTAGCTTAGTTACACATTGCTGTGGTGCTGAAGCTACAGGACCTTGGACAGCTCCAAGCATCCAAATTGCTTTAGCCACGTCTGTTTTTATCCTTCTTGGGCAGTTTTCCCTTTCTCGGACTCTTTCATCTCCCTGCCATCTATACTCCATAACAGGCTGTATCGTAATAGAACACACACCCCAAGGGGTGTTAGGAGTGTGTTACCCCCACAGTATTTGTTTCCAGAGAGTAAATCATCTGTGTACCAAGTTTGGTTGAAATCGCTCGAGGCGCTCCAGAGTTATGCTGAAACACACACACACACACACACACACACACACACACAGCATATTTATATATATATGGATAAAAGAAAGACAAGATTGAAATTCCAAAAACCCCTGTTCGCAAACGCAAAATGTAATTTCTAATGTTGAATTTTCCCCCTCACCAAAGGGTGCCCCCTCGTGGAGTACTATGAAGCTGTTACCATGGCAATTGAGCCAAGGTGGCGCAGTGGTTAAATGCAGCACTGCAGGCTACTGCTAGATCAGCAGT